AATGACTGTATTTTCTCATCTGTAAAGCACTTTGAATGACTGCAGGGTATGAAAGGTGCTATTTAAATAAACTTGCCTTGGACACACCTTTGGTCACCTCCTTCATCATCACTATCAGTGAATTTTGGATAGATGTTTCTCCAGATTTACCCTGAAGCCTTTTTTGTCCTATTAAAGTATGTTTTTTTCATCATAAGTGTTTTTGATTAGTCAGCTGTACAGAATTCTCTCTCTGTTTTGACGGGAAACACGCTGGCTTATTTTTATTCATAAATCACTCTCTGGCCATATGGCAGCTTATTTCTCATCTATGATCTCTATTAATAACAGTAATTATCAGAGCTGCTCAGTGACTGGATCACCTGTCAGGTACTGAGAGTTTTACTGAACTGGGAGAATCTGCTTTTATCTACAGGGAGCTGGAGTCACTACAGGAGACTCTACAGCTCACTCACTGGAGTCACTCAGTCATGTAAACTTTTTAATCTCTAATCACCTCCAGACAGCCTGGAACGTTTTTTTTTATTTTTATTTTTATTTATTTATTGTATTTTATCTCAGTTCTATTATTGGTTCTATTTATTTACTTTATTACATTTTATAATCCTTTTACTGGACTGTTTTAAATTTTAAGTGGGGGTTTGTTTATAGAGTAGTAAGCATTACTAATTGATTAAGCTACATATACATACACACCAATCAGGCATAACATTCTGATCACCTCCTTGTTTCTACACTCATTGTCCATTTTATCAGCTCCACTTACTATATAGGTGCACTTTGTAGTTCTACAGTTACAGACTGTAGTCCATCTGTTTCTCTGATACTTTGTTAGCCCCCTTTTACCCTGTTCTTCAGTGGTCAGGACCCCCATGGACCCTCACAGAGCAGGTACTATTTGGGTGGTGGATCATTCTCAGCACTGCAGTAACACTGACGTGGTGGTGGAGTGTTAGTGTGTGTTGCGCTGGTCTGAGTGGATCAGACACAGCAGTGCTGCTGGAGTTTTTAAACACCTCAGTGTCACTGCTGGACTGAGAATAGTCCACCAACCAAAAACATCCAGCCAACAGCGTCCTGTGGGCAGCGTCCTGTGACCACTGATGAAGGACTAGAGGATGACCAACACAAACTGTGCAGCAGCAGATGAGCTATCGTCTCTGACTTTACATCTACAAGGTGGACCGACAAGGTAGGAGTGTCTAATAGAGTGGACAGTGAGTGGACACAGTGTTTAAAAACTCCAGCAGCACTGCTGTGTCTGATCCACTCACACCAGCACAACACACACTAACACACCACCACCACGTCAGTGTTACTGCAGTGCTGAGAATGATCCACCACCCAAATAGTACCTGCTCTGTGAGGGTCCATGGGGGTCCTGACCACTGAAGAACAGGGTAAAAGGGGGCTAACAAAGTATCAGAGAAACAGATGGACTACAGTCTGTAACTGTAGAACTACAAAGTGCACCTATATAGTAAGTGGAGCTGATAAAATGGACAATGAGCGTAGAAACAAGGAGGTGGTCAGAATGTATGATATATATATATATATATATATATATATATATATATATATATTACTGTCCCAATTGATGAGTCACATTAATTAGCACATTGACAAACTACTAAATAATATCTGAAATAATGTTCTAGTTATTGTAACTATCACTAACTAATGATTAATTAACGCGTTACTTTTAAACATTTGAAATGATTATAAACTACTTAAAATCTAAAATAATGTTACTTTCTATTTCCATCATTAGTTAATGATTACTTGGTGCATTCGCTGACCATTCAGTAATGATTATGACTCTCAGATATACTCCTATTGTAAAGTGTTACCACACAAGTTTCATTGGTAGCAGAGATGTATAAAATAAATCAATCTTGCTCAAATACTTTTAAAATTATTAAGCATGAACCAAACCGTGTCAGCTGTGCCCCGCGCTCTCCTCCTGGAGAAATCAACTGGCTGCATTCTTACTGGCAAGGACAGCATAGACCAAGACCTACTGTGCGACTCCTCGCCCAGTCGATCCCCCCAGGGACGCCCGCGCTACCCACAGCACAAATTGACAGCTGTTATCAGTATCTGCATATCAAAGGCCAGTTCGACTGAGCTTCTGTGGAGATGATCCTGCTGGTACTGGTGCTGCACGTCGGAGGATGCTTCTAGCTTGCGGTTGCTTTTGATTGCTCAGTGGAGGTAAATTTAGTTTAAGCAGATAAAACGATGAAGAAAAGACTGAAAAACCTCAGACAGGGAGAGTTCTCCACACTCAGACGGAGAGGGAGACATCTGCACTTAGAGAAATCAGGTGTGCTCTTGCTCTGTCTGTGTATATACCAGGTAATATTCTCAATGATCTTATTATTAACAATAACTTTTGTGTCAAACAAGTTGTTTGTTAATTATAACATATTTTACTCACTTGCACACCTTAAACCTCACTGTGAGACCTTAAGCCTACATGAAGCTGAATGTTCCGCTTTGTAAACAGACTGCATGATGTGAAGCTAAATGGCTAATTAAGCATGCGAACACTGAGGTTCCCACTTTAGTTTTACTCCTTACCTTATTCGTCAGTACCTTCACTGTCTTAAAGCGGAATTCCTCCAATGTTCCAAAATTTGTACATAATTAAGTGGATAATATGTAAACAGAGTCATTCAGAGTGGTTCGGTGTGAAACGCTCTGTTCTAGAGAAACTTACCGAGTCAGAACTGTTCACAGTGGTGGTGATAGGAACCAGACGTCCACCTCTAAAAGCTCCCTCACAGAAAGTTACTACCTGAAATGGTTATGAATTCACTGCCTGATGACTGAGACGCTGTTTTTAATAAAGTTTTGCAGTAAGGATTTGGCCTAAAACATATGTTTTTAAGATCCGTTCATGGTGGAGGAATACATGCAGGCAAAACAGTCCACAAAGAAAACTTTTTTTTTCTTCAGATTTTCCACTATTTTCCATCATCCCATTCCATATAAACTCAGAAGACTCGTGTAGGTTCACTGGTGGTTCTGGATAGTAAATAAAATGTCTATATTTGTGTTGTAGTCATGGCGACCCCTGGTTCCTATTACCAGTACTGTAAAGACATCTGAACCATTTCACACCAAACCACTCTGAATCTCTCTGATTACAGCTCACTCACTGAACTATGGAGAAATTTTAAAACATTGATGGAATTCCCCTTTAATTTTTTTTTTTTTAATCTGCCACCGAGCACTGAACACCTCAAGGCCCACCTTTGTGACATACACAGTGAATCCACTCAGGAAAGTACAGCTTAGTGCAGCCAAAAGAATGTTTGATTTGTTTGGACAAAAATATTTGATGTTATACGTTCAGTGTGTTTTAAGTGTAGAAATAGAGTTTTAGGATTAAACAGGTGAATTTCAGTATTGTATAGTGAGACAACAGCGCAGTATGGAAAGTTTATCCACAGTGAAAATGTTTGAGATGTTATTAAAAAGCATTATTTGATGAATAAATGAATTAAAGCAGAATTTAAACTTAAATTTGGACAGTTGATTATTATAAAGTATTCTTTATCTTAGTTATCTGTGATCTAGTGGCAGTTATTATTATTATTGCTCTGTTTGATGGTGAACCGATTCAGGTGTGTCGATACTTGATACTCGAGTTGTATTTGGAGTTTGAACCGGACGGCTGTATTTCTGACCTGTTTGAAGCTCTACACTTCAGGTGGCCTTTTTCGCCTTTCATATTTGTTATAGGTTGAGATATGAAGGATATTGACGACAGCTGGCACTGTAGAACACCACAGCACACAGGGTTGATTTCATAGTGTTAATATTATGCATTGAAAGCTGATTCGCATGGAAAACAGAAAGTACCATCTTTTTTCATTCCCGCCAAACCAAACGTATTATCATAATGATAATAAATAACTGCCAAACTGGCAGCTGGTAAACCCATTTACTTTCCTGTACTCTAGAAAATTGGGAATTAGATCAATTGCAACACATTTTTACCCCAAAGGTTTCTTGGCGTGTGGTAAAGGTGGTATGGAGTCTGAACTACCAACCTAAATCCATATTTTATGCATGACTCTCCGATCAAATTATCTAGGTCACGGTCTGAGGTTGTTTTTGAGTGGTTTTCTCCAAGCATACGAAACAGAGATTGAATTGAACAAGATCCAATCAAATCAAGAGCCACATGCACACCAGCAGCTGGAGCACCGGGCAATGCAGGCCAGCCAGAATGCATCAAGCAAGTGCATAGACTATATTAAGCTTCATAAGACCTTCATACGTGCTGCGCAACCATGCAACAGTGAACTAGCGCAACTGCTTAACTGATGGTACCTGATATTTCGCATCATTTTGAGCCAGAAACTGTCACATTTCACTTTAATTATACAAATAACACTTTCACTGATGCATCTGAATGTATTTTCAGAAGCTAAACCTGAAAAATCTATAGTTTTTTTAGATTTACACAGCAAAAAATGATATTTTAGCAAGTGAAAACATCTTAAATGTAGTGGATTAATCTAGTATTTCTCATTATGAGACTTTGTAAGAATATTGTAAGATTATTAAACTTATTTTGAGACATTTTTACTTGTTTTTGTGTAATTTTATCTTATGAAAGTGTCTCATTCTATTGGCGGATCATTTTACTTCTTTTAAGTATTATTTCTCAAGATAAGTAAAATGATCTGCCAATGGAATAAGACACTTTCACTAGATAAAATTACATAAAACAAGTACTAATACTAACAGGACTAATCTCACAACAGTCTCCTAATGAGAAATAATGGATGTATAGGCTACATTGAAGATGTATTTACCTGCTTAGACATCATTTTTGCAGCGTAGCTCTTTTGAAACTTAATTTAGAAAAGTATTGTGATTGGATTGGATTGCTATGCTACTGGAATTTTAATTTTTGGGACAGCAGTCGTGAATCGCTCAAGGGAACGGATTGTTATGATTGGTGGCTTCCTGCCAGAACTCACCCCGTTGGCCCTGCTCAGAGCTTGGAAGTAAATGCTGTAGCTCTTGGCGGGAGACAGCGGCGCGTTCCAGTAACCGTTATAGGTCTTGTTGTCCCCGATGGTGAAGGGCTGCACCACCGCTAGGCTAACTGGGGAGAGCTCAGCCGCAAAGTAATGCGCCGAGTCCAGGATGGAGGCGTTCCGGTAGCTAACGGGGACGGAGAAGCACTCAATGACATCAGTCGCCCGCCGGACTTTCTGCTTCCGCTCCTCCTGAACCACCACTTGGTACGCGCTGGAGAAAGAACACAATGATGTGGTTAAAAACACTGGAAATAAGAGCACTGTAACATTCACATTCACACATATTCACATTATAACGTTATATATGAATTATTATACTGAATTGGTTGAAAACACATTTAGGACTTTTAACTGATCTTGGACTTTAGACTAAAATCCTTTTACTTTGAGTGACTCTAAACCTTAATTATGATTATTTTATTAAAACTAATGATTGAACATTCCATAGCAATCATAACTCTATCTGAACTGTACCAAATGTGTCAGTAGTGACTGTTTCAGTGACAATTTTAGCTCATTTTGAGCTCAGAAACTCAGCAGTTCATGACCAGCAAACACAGCTTTGAACAGCTGTTCACACAGAAAATCATCATATTTTACATTAAAGCACTAAAAATTGCTGAACTGCAGAAAATATGATGATTCTTAATGTTCCACACTGGTTTTCAGACTTTGGGACTCATTTACTTCAAAACAATGGGATCTAACTGCTCACCATGTGGCCATGAGGGACAGGGATGCAGCCTCATTTCCCGGGGCGTGGCTAAAATAAGGCTCCGCCTACAGACTAAAACTCTGTTTTGGTAGTGACATGAAAACGTGGGACATTTATTTAAAAATTAACCGCATGATGAATCTAAATCTTTCAACTGCATCATAAAAGAAATGAAAAAGACCTTTTAGAAATGTAAATATTATTTTGACAAGTGTAACTTTAGGACAGACACCTCCCAAGAGAAAATATCTTAAAAACAACGGTTCATTAATGGTTCTTTAGTGAATAAAATGATTCTATTTAGAGCCATACACATCTTAGAACCAATTGTATTAATGCTTAAATGGTTCTTTGCATGGTCAAATGGTTCATCAGATTGATGGAAAATGTGTTTTATATAGAACCTTTTTGAAAAGGGTCCTATATAGAACCAAAAAGGGTTCTTCTATTGGTACGATGTCAAGCCTGTAACAACAAGAGAACCCTTTTTGGTGCTATATAGAGGTTTACTAGAAACCTTGAAGAACCATCTTTTTCAATAATCCTTTTTATGCTTATAAATGATTATATATATATATATATATATATATATATATATATATATATATATATATCATTTATAAGCATAAAAAGGATTATTGAAAAAGATGGTTCTTCAAGGTTTATATATATATATATATATATATATATATATATATATATATATATATATATATATATATATATATATATATGACCAAGTGAAATGTATAACCAAGTGAAATATATGACTGAGTGAAATGGTCTGTACATTTTACATACACACACACACACACACACACACATATATATATATATATATATATATATATATATATATATATATATATATATATATATATATATATTTATATATATATAATGACCAAGAGCTACACTGTAAATTTTAGCGAGTGAAATGGTCTCATATTAAAGCCATAAATCTCATTTTTTTCTCCTATAAGTCTTACAAAGCACAGTCAGCATAAGATTATTTAGTTTATTTGAAGAAGAAACACCTTCCTCAGTCTCACCTACACACTGTACCTTGTTTTAATTTGTTTATGGATGAAATCAACACAAAGAGTCACTAATCAGGTTATTAAGGTTATCATAACAGTAGTTATGACATTAAATCAGGGCTTTTTTCACCTGTTTCATGAAGCCTTATCTGTATTGTCTTATGTAGAGGATTTGAGATGTGATTTGAGAGCCTTTGTGCTGCTGAATTTGGGTTCTTTTATTTATTTGGTCAGAACTCTCAGAAGCTGCCTCGTTGTGGTGAATGTGTATGTAATCTAAAGTTAATAAAAGATGAAAATTGTGGTTTTCTATTGTTTGGTAAACACATTCAGCTCACAACAGTTTAATCTGAGTGTGAAGTGGAACGTTCTGAGTGTCAGATCAGCAGCAGTGCCTATGCTGACACACACTAGAAGACTTTGAAAAGACGTTTGAAAGACTAAAGTCTGACACCCTCTCACATCTAAAGACAGGGTCACAGTTTTTAGTCACACACTATGATTTTGCAAAGATGGGGAATCTTGCAGTGTCACTCTTAGTAAGACTGCAACTAGATGTTTGAGATTATTCCCCATCATGCACTTGGTGGAAATTTACAAGCAGAGCAACACTTTTCCTTCCACTGGGGCTCAGTTCACTGTAGAGCTGTATACTCTGGCAGATCATCACCCAGAATCTTTAATTAACATGTAAAATGTGCAGTTATTTTTTTTAATTTGACAAAGATTTACAGACCAATAAAATATGCAACAATTCAGCACTGTTGGGTGTTATGAACTAAAGCGTAAAAGCAAACAAACAAAATAAGAAACCAGTGTAACGGAAAAAAAAACACATTGATGATTCTTCAGTAAAGCCGTTCTTAAAGTCCTCTGTACATTTCCTTACATCACTGTTCGCTCAGTGAACCTGAAATATTAAAGCAGTTTACATTAAGTTAATATGTTTATTGTATTAAAGTGGAGCAGATTTGCTTTTTTTACAGAGATTTCAGGCTCTAACACATGTAGTTTCTCCCTTGCTGTCTCCCTCTCTCTCTCTTTGTCTATCGCTTGCTGTCACGCCCCTGGCGCGCCACTATTTGTATGTGCCAAGCTTTAAATCTTATGATAGTATTAAACACGGTTGATTTTGTTGTAGCATCAAGACGAGAAAAAGACTGACCTAAGACCGCCATCCTGACCACCTTACACTAAACCATCGAGATGATGCGAACACGACACAACTCCAGCAACACTCTCATGAATTTATTCCGACACTGGAAATTTGTCTGTGACGGTAAAATCGCTTGAAAAGTCGTTTGGTGTGAGGCCGGCATTCGTCTTACTGAGAGATTTCAGAGAAACAGACTTACTTTCAGTCCCTGAATCTTATTATTGTGCCTGGAAACAGAATATTTGATGCTTTTTTCACCTTTAAAATCTACACTCTTAAAAGAGATGGTTCTTCAAGGGTTCTTTAGTAAAGATAACACTTCTATATAGAACCATAAACACTCAAAGAACCATCTGCATACTTAAATGGTTCTCTGCATGGTGAAATGGTTCTTCAGACTGATGTTTTGTAACAAAAGCAGAACCACTTTTGGTGCTATATAGAATCCTTTTCAAAAGGGTTCTGTATGGAACCATACACAACACATTCTCTACCAATCTGAAGAACGATTTCACCATGCAGAGAACCATTAAGGCATGCAAAAGGTTCTTTGAGGATTTATGTTATTGTTTGTTGTTTGTTATGTTGTTTATGTAAAAAAGTTGTTTTTGACCATTTTCTAATCTCTCTTCATCCTTTAGATTGAAACAGGCTGTGCCTTTAAGACTGATGTATGTAAATGAGCTCTGCTCTGATTGGCTGCCCTGTACTGTGCCTCAGTCAGTCAAACTGCTGTAGGCTGAATAGGCAGATATGCATCAGTGACTTTGTGACATCACAAAAACGATGAATTCAAATTTTGGTTGCTTACAGTCATATTCAAAAGTTTGGATGACATATTTGGTTGATTTTCAAAGTGAAAATAAGTTCACAACTCAGAGACGCATTTTAATGCACAATTACTGTTTATCAGCTGAATGTAACAGTTAAAACCTAGACAAAAAAATCAAACATGAAGCGTGGCCTGTGCAGAAGTTATATTTCATGTTTTTTTTCTCCCCTCTATGTCAAACTCAGCACATAAATAGAAATCATGTGACTGAAATTAGCAGAAAAATGACATTTTAGGTGTGTTTCCTGTAGAAGATGTGCTTATTTTCACGAAGAAAAACTACAAAACGTGATTCGATCCAGACGCCCGGACAGCTGGAGTTTCGTATGCGGACTGGGGCAACAACACATTTTGAAACTCTGACAATGTTTATATGCCAACTCTTTTATTTCCAATAGGGATGAAAAAACAATAATATAATACAACGAATATTAAATAATAAAATATTCTTTAAAAAAAATAAACCAATAATATAGTACAACCAGCACTGCTCCCAGTAGAACCTCCTCCACCCCCCATTAGACACACCTCCAGAACATAAACTGGGGAATTCATCACCATTTCCTGTGTGCAATATAATCAATACTGCATGTGGAACACGTGTAAAATATCTCTACAGTGTAAAGAGTTTTGGCTTTTCTATCTATAATGTTTATATTGTTCATTTCTCATCATTCCTATGTGTAACATAAAACAATACTTCATGTGCAAAACTCCATGTGGAATTTGGGTAAAATATCCTCACAGTGTAAATATTTTAGCTTTTATTTATAATTCTTTGTTTCGTTCATTTTTGTGAAGCATAGAGTTTATATTCATAATTTTATCTTATTTTTTTATTTTAGTATTATATTTTTTGTCTACAAAGTAAAAAGAAACAAACTGTAAAAACCTCGTTAAGTGATTAGCAAAGTTAATTACTTGCTCGTTAATTCTCTTCTTGTTACTTCTTTTATTTTCTGAGTGCCTTATTTTCACTTTGCTGCTGTAACACTGAGAATTTCCCTGTTGTGGGACAAATAAAGGATTATCTTATCTTATCTTATCTTATCTTACCTTATATGGGCCCTTTAAAGGGGAAACACCGATTTTTTTAAAACCACCAATTTTTCAAAAAATCTACATGATTATATGTTTTAAATGTAAACAGAGTCATTCAGAGTCATTCAGAGTGGTTTGGTGTGAAACGCTCTGTTCTCGAGAAACTTACTGAGTCAGATCTGTTCACAGTGGTGGTGATAGGAACCAGACGTCCACCTCTAAAAGCTCCCTCACAGAAAGTTACTGCATGAAATGGTTATGAATTCACTGCCTGATGACTGAGACACTGTTTTAGGATAGTTCTGTGATACAGTTTTGGCTTAAAATGCATTTTAATCCATCTACTTTAATTCATTCATGGCGGAGGGCAAAATAGTCCCCAAAGAAACCTTTCAGATTAATGACTCCCGTACCATCACCAACATTCCATATAGAGCCATATAGAGCAGAAGACTCGTGCAGGTTCACTGGTGGTTTTGGATAGTTGGTTTTGGTTTTGGCTGAGGTCGGAAAGCTTCTCTACAGTTAACCACTTTACATCAAACCTCTCCGAATGACTGAAACTGACTGAAATTTTGAAACATTGATGGAATTCCCCTTTAAGCTCCTTTCAGGGTGCTGTTTCATGTCTCGAGGGCCACCGAGAGCCGCTAACCCCCTCTCAGGGTCCTTGAAGGAGCACGAGAGCCACCTCGGCATCATCGAGGAAGCTCAATTAGGTAGACGATGCTTTATGAAGCCAGCAGAGGGAAATGTCTACTGCGGCAGTTGGGTTAAAGGGGAGAGGGGGCGGGGCCACGCCAGCCGGCTGGGGCTTTTAGAAAGGGCTTGTCAAGGGGGGGGCCTGAGGACGTGGAGAGGGCATGACTGTGCTTCAGCCCGCAGACTTCATGAATAGATAAGGACGTCTTTTGAGCTTTCATCGCTAATAGTGCTTGTTTGCAATTATGTCTATCTGTGCTGCGGACATACTTCACAATTATGTGCAATTAGGGAAATGTATGTTTCGCAGAAAGAGATGATGGCAAATTATTCCAGCCTCTAATTTGGCATCTTTCATAAGGGATAATTACTTATGACCAAAGAAGCCTTCCTCTCGCCTTACTTCTTCTTTTCCATTCTCCATTTCAAACTAATGGCTTTCAGTGCAGAGTGGACGAGAGAGAGAGAGAGAGAGAGAGAGAGGAGAGAGAGAGAGAGAGAGGTTGTATGGTTGATGGTTGTGGGCACCTATTGTACCCAAACTCATCTACAGCCCCTGCAATTATGACCAATTTGCAGAGGGTTCACAATATTATTAAAAAAAAAAGGAGCTATTACTGCTCTGGGTATTAAAATGAGCAGTTATTAACATGAAAATGTTTCATGTTTACTATTTTACCCCTATTTTGGGAGCAAAATACATGCCCAATATTCCTAGCAGCACTAGTTTTAGTACTTAGCACTGTTACTGCTAAAAAACGGAGTCACTTTCATTAACGGCGGCCTCGTCCCAATAATAAAAGCACGCTTTTCTGATTGTGTATTATCTGTCATCGGCGTCTGAAGTCTGCATGTGGCGTCTGGGCCGAGGGTGAGGACACAGAGGAGCTCTGTTGCTCTGCCAGTGCGCATCCGAACGGACCGGGACCCCCTTAAAGGCTCAGCATACAAATGACGCTTGTTTGAATGAGAGCTTTTAACACGCTCAGGTCGCTAACCGCCGCGCTGGTCTCTCCGCTCAGGCTCTGGACAAACAGAGGGGGGAGATTTTAGGAGAGTTTTCTTCTCCAGCATCTATTATTACTGAGGGTCCGGATCCATATTTAAAGAGCAGGATTAGTCCGGCTTTAGTGCAGAGTAACCGGCAGGTGAACAGGAGCTGGAGGGCGTGAAAAAAATGAAGCCTCGGCTGGAGACGTGGCCCCCCCAGGGGCATTTAGATGGACACGTTAATCGATTTGACACCTAATCTCAACATGCCTTTAATGGCCTGAAGGATTTGAATTTATTTATTTGTCTGTTATACATGTATATATGTATATAATAGCAAAAAGGGTTCTGAACAGTATCAAATCAAGGTTCTTTGAAAAAAAAGAAAAAACACATATGTATGTATGTATGTATATATATATATATATATATAATATATATATAAATTTTCAGGGTTTTTTGTACTTAAATTGAGATTTACCATATAAGAAATTTTCTTCACACAGCTGTTACAGTTTTGAAATGTTCAGTTTCTGCTTTTAATTCTGTCATTTTCATGGTGGCTTTCAAGTTCAGCTTGAGTTAGTTAAGGGTGCATTAGCAGAATTAGTTTTGTTTCATTGTTTAATAATATTTACAGTATTTTGGTGAATATTTGGTCCAAAACTGGGGCAGAATTCCAGGTTTCCATCTCATAAATGCTAAATTAGTGCAGCAGTATGCTGCTCAGCTAGATTATGAGATTTACATTAAAGGAATCCAGTGAAAAATTAAAGAGCCCATATTCTAAATTTTCTTTTAATTTAACCCCCCTCCCCCCACCCCCCCAAGTCTGTTTATTATATTTTACTACATCGGTGTGGTTTTTTGTACCGATGTCATAATTCATATTTGACTTTTTACATTTTCCAATCTTTATTATCTCTTTAAATTAAACACTGTTTTGATACTGTGCCTTTACGACTGATATGTAAATGAGCTCTCTTCTGATTGGCTGCCCTGTACTGTGCCTCAAAAAGCAGTCTGGGCTGAAACACTCCTTATAACTTCAGTGTGAGTGGGCGGAGTTAAACTGCAAGTTGAATAGGTGAACATATGTAAATGAACTGTGTTTTGTGACATCGCAAAGACAATATATTCAAAATGGGCAGCTTAGTTTCCAAACATGGACGTGTTTTGAAACTTTAACATTGTTGACATAATACATCAAACTCTTTTACCTGGAAATTAGCAATGAAAACGTATTTTTTCCATGATATGAACTCTCTAAGGTCCCCATATTATTATTCATTTTAAGTCTGTTTTAATATTAGTTCTCATTAATAATAACAATAATAACCCTGCACAGCTGTCGCTCACCAGATATCAGATCTTTAAGTTCAACTTCTCCACATTTTACATTCATTTATTCACCCCTGAATCTTCCACCTTTTCCTACTAATGATGAACTTTCCGCCTCTACCCCGAGGCGAGGCATCGCTCGGTGGACACTTTGTGAGGGGACAGTGACCGCACAGAGGCTGGCTCACCTGACGGGGGCTCCTCGTGACTGGGCGGGCTTCAGGAGGACAGTGATGGTGGTTTCTGTCTCGTTGAGAGGAGAGTCGGTCTCGTATTCAGGCATCGACGGAGCTGCGGACACAAGAGACATAACACAATTATCTTATGCAAATGTCATAGAGGAGTTCTGAGCTATTAGCCGTGCAAATTTGCTCCTTATTGAGTTATTAACAGATTAGATTTGCTTGTTTTGCTGTGTTTGTTTTCTTTTTCTCTGTTTCTGCTAATGTATAAGAAAATAATCAAAGCTCAGCTATACTGGAAATATAGTATGAAACATTTTTAAAACATCAACAATGTAAATAATAATAATAAAAATATAATAATAATAACACTAAGAAGAAGAAGAAGAAGAACAACAACAACAACAACAACAGTAGTGAAAAGAAGAACATAATAATAATAATAATAATAATAATAATAATAATCTGTAAAAGTTTTGCTATTTTGCAATTTTTGCAAATTTGTAAGAGGAATGAAGGTAAAATCAATTTTGGCATCTAATCCACCTTGAACTTTAATAATGCTACACACTTGGATATTATCCCAGCACTGAAACGGATATAAACATATTTACTGTTAAAATATTAAGTATTATTTAATTGGTCATAACGTCGCTGTTGGAACTAAACCTTGTTTATCCTTTTTTGGGGGGATTTTTAACTGAACTCAAATGTCACATATCCAACAGTACATATATTAATATAATATATTATGAATTATTATTATATATTAATATATTTACATACATGTTTCTTTTTCATTTCTGTTAAGTATTGCTTAAGAAAATAGTAAAAAAAAGAGAGACTTTTTTTAGAGAAAATACAATCATAAAATTTGAGATGTTGATACTACTACTGCTAAAAATAATAATAATAATAATAATAATAATAATAATAATAGCAATAATAATAATAGTAACAATTATTATTATTATTATTATTATTGTTATTATTATTATTATTATTATTATTACTTACCAACACCTGTTGGCAATCCAAGGGCTCAAATGTGTAAATAATATTTATATCACCTATATTCAGTCTTATTCAGTCTATATACAAGATGTAAAAGCATAGTTAACTCATATATGAATCATATGCAAATGACTTACGCAAATGTGGTCACTGCATATTAATATATAAGATGGTCAAACCTCAACTAGACTTTATTAGTGCAAATACAATATGAAACGTTTTTAATCAGATTTGTAAATAATGATAATTATCATAAACAATATACAAACAAATCATTTTAATAAGACTATACGCTGTTCTGCTTACTCTGCCCGGCCCTTTTATAACAAGAATGACTGTACAATTAATTTTTGGTATCATCTCATACACCTTCATAACCAACTCATATACTTGGATATTATCCCAGCACTACATTCATATACACATATTTACGCTTAAACCCTTCTTATATAACATACTAGAGCATAATGCTTTGATGTGCTGGTCATTCAGGGCTCAAATGGGCCAGTAATATTTAATTCAGTGCAGACAGACATAACTAAGACAAATACAAATCTAATGCAAAGCAATTTTGAGATATTACTGTACAAATGTGCTACTTTATGAGTTATTAACATAATAAATTTGCTTATTTTTTCATTTCTGGTAATAGTTATATATGAAAATAACAAAATCTCAACTAGACTGTCAGAGGAAATACAAAATAATAGAAATAATCATAAAAATAACTTACAAATAATTTTTTATATAACTATTTTACATTGTTTGGTATTGCCTTGTATGATAAGAATGATCACAGAATCAATTTTAAGTATGATGGACCACTTCTTTCACCCTGAATCTCCATATAATTGGATATTATCCAGTTATACTATCAATATTACCATAATAATCATTAATTAGGCTGAATATCAAATACTAAAT